GCGCTGCGCTCTGAGCCGGGGCCTCGGGCCAACCCAGACCCCTTTGCGGGGGACAGCCCACGTTGCCAAGGGAGGGGGCCATAAGGAAGGTTCGGTGCCGCTACCCCCTTTTCCCTTCGGTGACATCCATCCCGCCCTTGGTTATGCCCCGGATACGACTCAGGTGGCTTCAGCACCCAAGGCCTCTCCCGCGGGCCTCCTGAGTCCCTGACCAGGTCCCCAGGCCCACCTGAGGCTGTGCTCTGGGTCGCAGGTGCAGGGCATCTGGCAGCTGAGGCCATAGAAACCGTCAGGGCAGAGGCGCTCCGTGCAGCGGTCCCCGGTGAAGCCGTGTTCGCACAGACACGCGCCGTTGGGGAAGCAGCGGGCCCCGGGGGCGCAGTCGCACGTCTCCACACAGTCCTGTCCGAAGTGGCCGACGGGGCACTCCTCTCGGCACCTGGGCGCCCAGCTGAGTGAGCCTGGCCACGCCCACCCTCCTGGCCCGTCCCCACCGCCCCGCCCTCACAAAGCCACTCACCGCTCCCCCATGTAGCCAGGAGCACAGCTGCACTGCCCAGTCAACGGGTTGCAGAGGCCACCGTTGTGACAGCGACATTCCTGGGAGCAGTTGGGTCCATGGAAGCCCTGGGCGCAGGGCAGGGTGCAGATGGCGCCCTGTGGAGCGAGAGGTTGACAGATTCCCTGGCACCGGGTCTCCCCCTGGTGACGGGACCCTGAATACTCCCACACCAGGAGCCCTCCAACCCCTCCAGGGCCCACAAGCCACCCACTTCACGTAGACCAGCGGTTCTCAACCTTCCTAATGCCGCGACCCTTTAATACAGTTCCTCATGTTGTGGTGACCCCCAATTTCATTGTTACACATTGAACATAATTAAAGCATAGTGATTAATCACAAAAACAGCATGTAATTATATATGTGTTTTCCGATGGTCTTAGGCGACCCCTGTGAAAGGGTCGCGACCCACAGGTTGAGAACCGCTGACGTATACCCTCCTTCGAGCCCTGTCAGACCCTCCAGCAGGATTGTCCCCAGGCCCCCACCCCGACTCAACAGGCCCCGCCCTTCATACCATCCAGCCAGGTGGGCAGCTGCAGGAGCCTCGGGAGGCCTCGAAGACACCCCCGTTGTGGCAAGGAGAGGTGCTGGGGCAGTGGAAGCCAACCGTGTCCTGGAGACAGGACACCTCACAGCTGCGGGCAGAGCAGGCGAGGTCAGTGCGGGTCAGTGTGAGCAAGCTGTACTCGCCTCCCCTTTGCCCCTAAGGCCTGACTTCAGGGCTCGGTGAGCACGCCCCCCCGCCCCCCGCCCCCTTGTAGGGGACTCAGGCATCAGAAAGCAAAGCTTTCCAGGACTGGAAATGGCGGGGACACGGCACCACCAGGAGGCCCCAGACAGCAGTCCACCTCCACCTTGGCGCGTGCTTTCCTTCTGGGGGAGCCCCTGCCTGTGGGGGCCTCAGCTCCGAGCTCCTCCCTGCAGCCGGTCGCGGTTCCCACCCAGTGAACCTTCTCCTTCCGGGGGCTCCCCGCTCTCCCCGTACCCGGCCTTGCCACAGGGCTCCCTGTCTCAGCCCCACTTTATGACACGCTCTCACACACAGGCTCTCTCGTGTTATCTGTGCAGTAACCTTCCCCCGTGGATAACGCTGTTGCGACAGCACAGACAGGAATCAAGCTCACAAAGTCAATGATTTGCTCAAGGTCACTCAACCAGTGAGGGCAGAGCAGGGACTAGGATCTCGGCCTCTTGATGCCACCCCTACATTTGGAACCCGTCGGAGTTCCCACCTATGCCCATGTGTGCCAGGGTGGTCCTGTGTCTGTGACCCCATTCGTGTGCCTGTCCCCCACTACACACCTGGGCCCCGTTCTCCCTGGGGGGCAGAAGCAGGCTCCAGTCTGGGGGTCACAGGGTGCCCCGTGGCAGTTGCAGGAGAGCTGGCAGGCAGGGCCATAACGGCCAGGGGAGCAGGGCTGAAGGCAGTGGGGGGGCTGCAGACCAGAGGGGCAGGAACATGCCCCACTCTTGGGGTCACAGGAGCTGCTGTTGCCACAGCTGCAGGGCTTGTCACACTGTGGTCCCCACACTCCCGGGGGACAGTCTGTGAGATGAGGAGGGTGGAAGAGGTTTCCAGGGGTCTCACCCCCGCCCCCCCCAGCCTCCAGTTAATCCCTGTCTCTGTCTCCCATCCCCCACATACACCATGTCTGGCTTGGCCCAAACTCTACCACATCCCCGGAAAAGGCAGCGTAGAGCAGCGGTCGCCAACCGGTGGTCCGTGAGGTCCGAAAGGTTGGCGACCGCTGGTGTAGAGCACATCCCAAAGGGGCTCTGGTGGTGACTGCCCCGGGGGCCCAGACACCGGTGCCTGGCTAGGAGGGTGTGCCCGAGGCCCCGCAGTCACCAGCCACTCACCACTGGAGCAGTCGTCACCTCGCCAGCCTTGCACACACTGGCACTGATTGGGGGCCACACAGCGGCCGTGGACACACTCCTGGACACAGAGCGCTGGGGCAGAGACGGGGGGTGGGAAGAGGCTTGCACGCCTGCCCGCACCCACCTTCACACTCTGAAGTCTGACCCCATCTCCCTCCCACACCAGGGCCCCGGGGCTCTCTGAGCAGCACGTCTGCCTCCAACACGCAGAAAGGCGGAGGAACAAGGATTCCGGGCTCCCCGGCCCCCCTGGGAAATTCTCGAGGCCCCTTCCTTGAGAAAAAGGGGAGAGAGTCCTCAGGTAGCAACTAGACAGGATGCTGTCCAGAGAGAGACTGGGGTCCAGGTGGGTCAGGCTTGGCAGGGGCTGGTGACGGCCAGAGGTGAGGCAAGGAGAGAGAGGCATAGCAGGCCCCAGTCTGGGGGTTTCAGGGTGTTGGGGGGGGGAGGCAGGGACAGGAGAGACTGAACAGCAACAAGTCAGAGAGAGAGAGACAGGGACAGGAAGAGACAGCGACAGACGCAGACACGACCCCCCCCCACACACACACACACATACACACAGTGAGAGACACAGGCAGACCAGAGACAGAGGGAGAGCACAGGAAGACAGGAGGCAGGACAGACTGCCGAGGGGCATGAGGAGGGAGGGGAAAGGGGTCAGCTAGCGGCAGCGCAGCTGTGTCCCTAGGGACAACGCCAGGTGAGCTGAGCGGGAGGAGGGGGACACCCAAAGGCCAGAGGAGTGGCCCTACCCTGGTGGATGCAGGGAAGGCCTAGAAAGGGTGGGCTGGGCCCCTCCCATCCCACGCCCCACCCAGGACTCACGCACGCAGGCCTCACGGCTCTCGTAGAAGCCCTGGCAGCACTTCAGGCGCTTCCGGTGGTCCGTCTTCACCACCTGGCGGTAGACAGTCCTGTAGACAACCCTGGGGAGGCCCGGAAGGGCCGTCAGTCTCCCTGCTGAGGCCCAGCACCCCCCCCCCCTCATACAGAGCAGCACTGTGGGAGGCCTGGGGTCTGTCCAACCCTCTGGGCTGGGAGAGCTAGACCACACCAGCCCCTGAGGGCCCGGAGGCCAGATGCTTCCTCCAAACTCTAAAGGTTCCTCCAGAGAAAAGAATGAGGGTGTGTGGAAGCAGGGGCAGCCCATCGGCCCAGGAGGGGGCAGGGCACTCACGTGGGTTGAGGGCAGGTGTGGGGGCTCTGCCAGGGCTGACTGCAGGTCTCCGAGGGGAGCAGACTGAAAGGCCGGGAGTGGGACTCCTTGGTGGTGGTGGTGAAGCTGCAAGACAGGAGGTCAGGGCCCAGGGCAGGAGAGGCCTGAGCTGGCACGGGGGCCGTGAGAAGCAGGGGTGTGAAGCTTGGCCACAGTGAGGAATCACCACCCCAACATTTGGGCTTGCTCCCCCAAACCTAGAATGAACCCTCATCCTGCCCTCCAATCTGAAGGGATCCTCCCAGAATTAGAATATTCCTGGGACCCCCCTCTCCCCCATCAGAGCCCTTTCCATGCAGGGAGATGGAGCTACAGCCCACTCATGGGTTGCAGCATTTCTGGCCGAATCCTGCCCTAGGCCTGTTTCCCAACCCTGTCCTTTATGTCCCCCCCCTGGGCCAGCCCCTCTGCTTGCTCCCCACC